TTTGCTAGTGTCCAATCACCTGCAGGTAGCTGCATAACCCGCGTGTTTAGGGTTCCTGTGTCCCGCGGTCCTTGCTTCATGCGTGTTCCTCCTCGGCTCAGGTTCTGCCATCGGACGGAATGATCCGGAAACATTCTCATGTGAAGATCGGGCGCTATCACCAGCACCTCACCGAGCAGCTGGACCTTGACCTCTCACCCCTGGAGTACATGATGAAGTGTTACCCCGAAATAAAGGAGAAGGAGGAGATGAGGAAGATCATTGGACGATACGGACTGACGGGGAAGCAGCAGGTGAGCCCATGGGAGGAGTCTGGACCTTCTCCATCTATACAAGTGTCACATGACCTACAATTCTGCCCACGCCCACAAATCAGATTCCCACATTGATTGATTATCCCGCCAAACCGATCAATAGATGAATAGAGACCCCCGGGAAGTCCTCCTGATCCCTCATAACCTAGACCAGCCAAACTCCGCCCCCTCCAGCTGTGGGTGGAACTACGAGTCCCATGATGCATCTCTCTCTGGGAGTCATGTCTGTGGCTGTGAGTCTTGCAATGCCTCCTGGTATTCGTAGTTCCACCCTCCCAGATGGAGGGGCGGAGCTTGCTCTGTGAGAGTCTTGCAATGCCTCCTGGGATTTGTAGTTCCACCCCCCAGCTGGAGGGGCGGAGTTTGGTCAGAGTCTTGCATTGCCTCATGGGATTTGTAGTTCCACCCCCCAGCTGGATGAGAGTCTTGCAATGCCTCCTGGGATTCGTAGTTCCACCCCCAGCTGGAGGGGCTGAGCTTGGTCTGTGAGAGTCTTGCAATGCCTCCTGGGATTCGTAGTTACACCCTCCCAGATGGAGGGGCGGAGCTTGGTCTGTGAGAGTCTTGCAATGCCTCCTGGGATTCGTAGTTCCACCCTCCCAGCTGGAGGGGGCGGAGTTTGGACCTCCCGGGTATCGGGTGGTAGAGTTGCTCAGACATGTGACCGGTACCTGTGTGTCTAGGTGAGCCCGATACGTAACCTCTCTGACGGGCAGAAGTGCCGCGTATGCTTCGCTTGGCTGGCCTGGCAGACTCCGCACATGCTCTTCCTGGACGAGCCGACCAATCACTTGGACATCGAGACCATCGACGCTCTGGCGGACGCCATCAATGAGTTTGAGGGAGGGATGATGCTCGTCAGCCACGACTTCCGACTGATTCAGCAGGTGAGGGACCGGCGTGCGGTGTGTGTGTTTTGGGGGGTC